AAAAAAAAATGAAAGACACAATATTTTTACAAAATAATGTCAATAAAAATGATACTGACATATATTAGTATTGCATTAATGTATATCAATTTAATAAATGCTGAAATTGTGTAAAATTAATTCTCTATACACGATATAAAAATTGACATTTTATAATAAAACCATATACACATAGTAATTGCAGGTAAGAGTTATCGTTCTTGAAAAACTTCACAGTAGTGAAATAGGTAGCCGGTTTCCTGAAGTACAGAAAAATGGACACATGTGACTCATTGATAAAAAAAACCTGAATTAATGCCTGGATTGCTTTGAAATACTTTAATATTGAGAGAACACACTGTTCTGTCAATAATAAACATACAATATTCATCAGTTTAATATTAAACATTAGAATTTGCGGAAATTGTGATACTGTCTCCCTACATTGGATTTTCAACTAGGGATGTACTTCATGTTTCCGTTTATCGATACACTCCAATGACCTTAATGACCAAATATCATCACCCTTTGCCTTTGGTAAAGGTTTTAAACATACTTGACCCCTGTGACCTTGAATATATGTAAAGGTCATTCATTTGAACAAACTTGATAGCCCTTTATCTCAGCATGCTACTGGCCAAATATCATTATCCTAGGCCTCTTGGTTATTCAGAAGAAGTTGTTTTAAAGGTTTTAAACATATTTGACCCCTGTGACCTTAAACATAAGTAAGTCATTAATTTGAACAAACTTGGTAGCCCTTCATCACAGCATGCTACTGGCCAAATAGCATCATCATAGGCCTTTCGTTAATTGAGAAGAAGTTGTTTAAAGGTTTTTAACATATTTGACCCCTGTGACCTTGAATGTAAGTAAAGGTCATTCATTTGAAAAAACTTGGTAGCGCTTCATCCTGGCATGTTACTGGCCAAATATCATTATCCTAGGCTTCCTAGTTATTCAGAAGAAGTTGTTTAAAGATTTGTTAAGACAATTGACCCCTGTGACCTTGGAAATCGACGAAGGTCATTCATTTGAACAAACTTGGTAGATCTTAATCACAGCATGGTACTGGCCAAATATCGTAACACTATGCCTCTAAGTTATTCAAAAGAAGTTGTTTAAAGTTTTTTTAACATATTTGACCCCTGTGACCTTGAATATAAGTCAAGGTCATTCATTTGAACAAACTTGGTAGCCCTTCATCATAGCATGCTGCTTGCCAAATAGCATCATCATAGGCCTTTCGTTTATTGAGAAGTTGTTTAAAGGTTTTTAACATATTTGACCCCTGTGACCTTGAATATAAGTAAAGGTCATTCATTTGAACAAACTTGGTAGCCCTTCATTCTAGCATGTTAGCAAATATCATTAGCCTAGGCCTCTTAGTTATTCAGAAGAAATTGTATAAAGATTATTAAGACCATTGACCCCTGTGACCTTGAAAATGAACGATGTTCATTCATTTGAACAAACTTGGTAGTCCTTCATCCAAGCATGTTACTAGCAAAAAATCATCACCCTAGGCCTTTTGGTTATTAAGAAGAAGTTGTTTAAATTAAAATATTGACGCCGGACGACGGACGCTGCACCATGGCATAAGCTCACTTGGCCCTTCAGGCCAGGTGAGCTAATAAATATTATCCGTGATCATAGGGCTTTGGCAACCAGCGAATATCTTTCTTTATTCCCTGAGGAACATACAGCTGGTGCTGCCAATTCAGCCCTCACAGCATGCAACAATTCTAGCACTGCCCAACCACGTACTCATTTTCAACTGAGTACACTGGATCAAGTGGAGCAAAGTATCTTGCTCAATGATATATAAACACAGTGCCGTGCCATGACTCACAACCGCATCCCTTCGGTCACGAGCCCGGCGTCCTACCACTGGAATACCGTTCTTCTTGACGAATCCATACCATTTACAATTTCGTTGCATCCTCGATTTCCAATTAATTAAATAATGTAGTTTACAATACCGTTACTACACTACTACTACAAATAAGTCGTTATATTGTTCCTGAAATTTATCAATGCCGTAGACAGGAAAGTTGTTTGTCATGAGGAGAAAATAAAATGACTTATACAAGTCTGTAACTGCGCCGTAGACCGATATAAACCAACCTTCTTAAATCGTGATGAACCTCCCGTCGCCATTGCTAGATCTAGGTTCACTGCAGCTCAGTTTTCTGTAAGTAGAACAAGTTGACAACTGAAATTGAATCAATTATAACATAACAAATAGGCTATATAAATGCTTGGACGTAATTTTACGCAAGAAAAAGATTAATATTCCCAGATCCTGTATGAGTTTCTTTCTTGCGTCAGTAAGAGCGCCCCATGTTTAGATCACATGTTGACTAAAAGGAATAATTACATACAAGATGCATTCGTGATCGTTTAATGACAGGTATTTTTATGCTAAGCTGGTCGGGTGGCGCAGGGGATAACGAATCAACCATCTATCAACGCGCGTGGGTTCGTTTCCCAAATAGGACGTGAAAAGGTATTGAATCAACGACACAACAACGTTGTATTTTTGCAGGTATTCTGCTTTTCTGCAATGACTACTTTCGCACCTTTATCCGTCCAACAAAAGAGATAAGCATATGCAAGAATCGTTGTTTCAAAATATAAAGTTTATATAATTTCTTCTTGTTGACAAAGAAACAAATTATATAGAAATAGCTCCATAAAGTGATAACAAATGTCGCTATGGTCAACAGGGTGATCCCGTACACCAATTATGTACAGTGTTAGTATATCTTTATAAAAAGTCGCTGTAGTTGTCTCTTTTACACGTAAACATCTTAAATAGTTCAAGTGTGTAAGATTTTCATGAAACCTAAATCAATTTCGAAAAGACGTGTATTATATTACTATAAACGTGCTTCTATTTAGTTGATCTTGACACAATAGCAAGTAATAATAGAACAATTTCCATCGACTATGCTAATTATATACCCTATACGACTGTAATTGGACGTCTATTTTAACCAAGGTTGACGTTTTATAAGCGAGTATATGCTGATATTTAGGCACTTACCGACCAGATTGTAATAAGTGAGAACAAACTACGTAGATGCTTAATACTGGATAAAAGAAGAAAACAAGAGGCCCATGTGCCTTAACGGTCACCTGAGTCCTACAGTATTTATTTTTGTTGTTGAATATGTACCCATTTGAGTAAAAAAATGTTAAGTATAACGTTAACTAAAGTTTGTCAGGACCATGAGCTGATCTTTCCTAGACCGATTTTCAGTTAGATCGGCCTATTTTTAACGTTTGAAATAGGTATTTTCAAAATAGCAGCCATGGCAGCCAAATTGTATTTATGATCGACCCGAAAAATAACAACACTTTGTCAGGACCATGAGTCGAACATTCCTACAAAGTTTCAGTTCAATCGGCCTAGCAGAACTTGACTTTAAGTTTGAAATAGTTTTTCAAAATGGCGGCCGTGTCAGCCATATTGAATTTCTGGTAGACCCGCAAAATAACAACACTTTGTCAGGACCATGATTCGATCATTCCTACAAAGTTTCAGTTTAATCGGCCCATTAAAACTTGACTTTAAGTTTGAAATGGTTTTTCAAAATGGCGGCCGTGTCAGCCATATTGAATTTCTGGTAGACCCGCAAAATAACAACACTTTGTCAGGACCTTTTTTTTGTTTGTTTGTTTATGTTTAACGGCCCATCGACGGCTGTGGTCATTTAGGGCCATGGTGATTTATTTATTTATTTTACTTTTTTAACAAACATGTGAATAGCGCAGATAAAATCAGATAAAATGGTTCATTTTAAAAGTATTCGCATTGTATGTGTAGATAATAAAAATAATAAAAGGGAGTTAAAATAATAAGAGATAACGAATAGATGATATGGAATATGCGATATATATATAACGTCAAAAATGATAAGGTGGGTTAAAAGACATCAGAGTCTATAAAATAGACCGATGTCTTTCAAATAGTTAAATAATGCCTTCGAATCCACGGAACTGAAAAGTGTTTTCATATCCGGGACTCGGAAGTAGTTATCACGAATGTGTTTAAAATCGGAACATTCTATTAAA